CAGTGTAGTGAACTGGTTCCAGTGTAGTGAACTGGTTCAGTGTAGTGAACTGGTTCCAGTGTGAACATGTTACCTGTCCCAGTAGCAGCACAGGCACAGAGGTCTCTGCCCAGTAAGCCGACAGGAACACAGGCTTTCTGAATGGGAGTCGGGAGCTTGAAGCCCAAAGCTGTGATGGCCTGCAGGGACACAACAGGAAGTCACAAACAACAACAGACTTTAACAATAACAAAACCAGAGGCCGTGCTGCAGCGACGCCTGGTGGTCAAGTCAAAACAACCAGCCGTCAACACATGACTTTACCTTCAGGATGGGTCTGGATAGGTTCATATTATCAAACGTCAGCTGATCATCATACTGAGACGCGTCTTCGGAGTACGACTCTGCGGCCTGAACACAAAAACAGTTGTTACCACGGTATCCAGGTACATCCACCTGTGACATCATCAGCTCTTCATCTTCACCTCCATTCCAGCCTTCCTCTTCCTCCCACGTTTTTCTTTCTCTCTCAAGGTGTCTGGGAGGAGACAGGAAGGAAGTCACATATGTTACAAAAAACATCTTGAACTTATCAAAATAATAGTTTTATATTTACTGTTATTCTGATCAAGGACTGCAGGATTCCAATTGGAAAAAAACTTTGTTTCTGCTTCCTGTCAAACTACAAAATAAAAGACAACAAACAAACTTACCTGATTTGGTTAGAATTTCCTCATCACTCGAGTCAAATTCATCTTCATCATCTTCTTTCCCCTCCTCATCATCATCTTTTTCCTCATCCTCTTCTTCATCATTATCTTCACCTCTCTCAGCCTGAACTTCCTCCTCATCATCCTGGTTTTTCACTGCAGGACCTTCATCAGCGTCAGTCTGAGATGATTTCTCCTGCACATCAAAACAAGCTACATCTTAAAAACAGGAGATATAACCAGACAGGAAGAAGAACCTGGCCAGACAGGAAATGGGACCAGGCCAGACAGGAAGTAAACCTGAGAGCCCACCTCAGCTTTTCTCTTCTTCCTGATTTTCTCAATTTTCTGATCCAGGGTCGTCACAACTCTCTGCACGGAAAACAGATGAATATTAATATATAACAGGAAAATCCAAGAACCAAACCAAGAAGAAAAGATTCACTCAACACCAGAGAACGTTAGAGAACGAAAGAGCGTTAATGAGCGAAACTCTGCCAGATAAAATAGAACCAGAGAACATGAAAGTCTGACTGAAACTCTGCCACAGAGCGTTGGAGCTGGGGGGAGATACATATATTGTCAAAGAATCTGATTAAATATCCAATTGAAGGTCACAAGTGTAGTTTGTGTGAACAGAGACCAGTGACGTCATCAACAGTCACAGGTTTTAACCAGTGGGAACGAGAACCTCTGCGAGGGAGGAACAATCACCGGGTGAAGAACATGAAGAACTCTATCACAAAGCGTTTATAACGATCAGCTCCACGTCCACAAACCTTCTTCTTCAGCTGTTTGATGACGTCGGCCATCGCCCAGTCATCATCAGGGTTCAGAGTGTCTCGCTCTCCAAAATCAAAGTTACTGTTAAAGTCTCTTGACCCAGAAATCCCAAACTTCTTCTTCCTGTTCAGGACGATTCGCTCCTCCTGCAACACAGAGAGAGAGAGACAGACAGACAGAAAGAGAGAGACAGACAGAGAGACAGAGAGAGACAGACAGACAGAGAGAGAGACA